CCCCGGTGGGGGGGGGGGGGGGGGGGGGTGTTAGGGGAGCTGAGACAGCAAAAGAGGTTGCAGTGAAGTACAGGTCAAAGAAGTTACTTCATCGATTCATTTGCATTCTCAATTTTGTGTGTTGGTTGGTAAACTTTGGTGTACGTTGCCAATATTTATGACACCTGAAAACTTTAGGTCACCAGTTTGAATTTTGTGGGTAAATGAAGAAACTGGTTGACGAGGTATTATTTTAGTGCCAATTTCTGTAGATAATGGAGAAATACTTTCCTTTTTTCCCCCTAAATGTATCTGCTAAACTTAGGTGATCATTTTCATCTGTAGAAGGAAATACTCATGAAAGCTTTGAATTATTGCTCGAGTACAATTCAACCCACAAATAAGTAAAACAAAAACTCTATTGAGACTGTATTTCGATGTTATTAAAACGTCCAGATTCATAGCTTTCTTCATCATCAGAGCTAAATTCCACGTTATCTGAGCTCTGAAATGGAAAAATGAAATGATTTAGTTGGAATATGGGCGAGTTTACGAGGTTGACAACAATTCACTGCTTCATAATTTATAAGCAAGTTGGCTGTGCTTGCAAGTGTGCGTGTTTTTCGTACTTATAGCTAATAGAGTTACTTATTTAGACAGTAGAATAATTCATTAAAGTGAGATTGAAGAGAATAACCTGATCGTGTTGCTTCAAACTGCTTTGAATTTTGTTGATCAATTGTATCAGTATATACATTGGGAGAAGTATGCCACTAGCCTTAACAATAAGCAACTGTACAAGTATTTGTATAAATGAATATTAGTGCAGTTTAAAGCAAAAGGTATACTTTATACAGTAGTTTATTGCTCTGAATACCATTTTTATGCTAAACATTAGGAACGTACTGTAAAAAGTGAAAATGGGTAATCTCCTGTTTCTGCAGTGAGCACGCCCAACGAATGTCTCATCAGAAGCAGAAATGTGAACTGCAAATTTGAATGGCAAATGAATTTTGACAAAACAAATACCTAAAAATAGGGAGCAATGACACTCGTGATTTAAGAGCATTGGTTTTCCTCCCAATGGTTGACAACATATTTAGAAGTATGTATCGTATCGTTAGACTAGATAATATAATCAATCCATTTCTTGAACCATGCGATACCTTTTAACTATTGGTGATCAAACATGTATTGGTTTGAGGTGGTTCGAAATTGTATAGGATTCCGAACAACTTGAGTTGGGATGGGTCATACGGGATCTACATAACGGTGGCAAAAGAGCCCGTTGGCTTGACTTGAACAAAGCCCGATCCAAGCTGGTTTAGAGTTCGTTTATACTAGCCAAGGCACGGACCAAGCCTTAAAAATGAGATTTGGCCCAAGCTTGGACCCCATATGTGGGCTCTTGTGACCTTTTTAGTGACCGCTTGACGTGTTTTGACATTAATAGAAAGTTGCAGATAAGGATATTTTCAGTGTGAAAATAAAAAATGGTAGCCAATAATACATATTGACCAGATGACAGTGTGAGTACCATTTATATCATTTGGATTATATGAAATCGACGGTTGAACAAGATTGAATAAAAGAACTTACAGTGACAGCCATTGATCTGCAGTAACTGGCTGCACTTGTATGTGAAGCTGAATTGCATTCTTGGGAATAGTCATCAATTTCAAGCACATCTCCATTTTCTTCTTCTGCTTCTCTTCTTGGAATTTCTGAACTTCCTCTGTTAATAATACCCAACGTACAACGTTAATTACATGTGAAAATGAAAAAACAGCTCACGCATCTCTTTTTCTTTACCGTGTTTGGTCCAACATACGATATATGCTAAGTCTTGTCTTGGTGTATATTGTCAGAAAACGAGCCAAACATATTTGACACAAGGAATTACTTGAAACTAACTTTGCCAAACTTGCTTTATCGATCTTTTATTAATTGCAAACGATGGTTAGTTCGACCAGAAAAACAGAGGCATACCTTATTGTTAATGTTGTGTCAACTAACTGGGCCTTCTTGGATGGAGCCTTGTATCCAGGTTCAAATTTCTGTACCATACAAAAATTTACAAATAATAATAATAATAATAAAAATGTCGTTTTCATAAGTATATGAAAAATAATATAGATATAAACTATCGCTTTCCGTTTCAAGTATTCAAAATTATCCAGTCCGCCAGTCCTTGAAAAAGACAGCAAAATGGAAAAATATTGAGAGAATAGGATGTTGCGTAGCTTCAAACTAGAAAATTCCCATTTTGAGATTTCTAAGAAAAGACTATTTTGGCTTAACTCACAAGTAAGTTTTTGTTACAACTGTTATACTTCAGAAAAAAAAAAAAAAAAAAAAAAAAAAAAAAGTTACAAAATTAACAAACATGGTGTTAGGTAAAAATATGAAGAATTGAACTTTCATTCTCCAAATTTGTCCAACTAAAAAACTTATTTAGTTCAACTATAATTAAATTTTTTAAGCATACTAATACTAGGAATTAAAAAAAAAAAGGTTGTCTAAGAATTTTTTAGAGTTTCAGTAATTCTCCCAAAATTATTGAACGGAAAACTTGAACAAAACAACATAAGTTTTTGCACCAAAGAAAAATATTAAAAAAAAATAATAATAATAAAGAGAAGGCATGATTTGAAACCTGTAAACAAATTTCACAAATTGTGTTTCCCTTTTCATTGCACCATCTCTGTATGCAGTCTCTGTGTGCAAACTGGAAAGACAGAAACCCAAAATAAGTGATTAAGTTCGAAAAAAAGCAAGAAAAGTTTTGAAGAATTAACGAAATTTGTACATATACCTTGACAGTTCCAGAACAAGCACAGGGAGCTTCCAAATTTTTGGAGGTTTCGAATTCTTGTTCATAGCAGATTCTGCATACATGTATAGCAAAAGATAATTGTAAATTATCATCTATGGATAATACAAAATCCTCCATGCCAGTTTCAAATTGCTTATTTTGGTACTATGATGCTCTCTCTCTCTCTCTCTATTTGATCGGAGGCCTGTGGACTTTAAAGAACTGTATCTTTTTCCTTAAATACAAGAAAACAGAGATCGTTTAAAATATATAATTAATGACATTAGTAAATACTGTATCGGGAAAATAGCTGTGAAGGTCCCCAGCCTATTGCTCGTGCTACATTTTCATCTTCAACTTTCAAAATAGAACATTTTAGTCTCCACTTTTCCACCTCTCCACCTTTTGATATTTAGTCTTGAGGTTTCATCTTAAACTGTCAATAACTATTTGGTTATGTTGTCCAGATACACTAAGGCTGTTATCACTTTTTCGCATTCTATTACTTAGATGATATTAAAAGAAAATCTAATAGGATGAACTAGCGTCAATATGTAGAGTTGCGTAAGCATGTCGACTTAGCTATCAAGTCGAATTTCATCAATCAAACTTCAATTGTATTGACTCACCTCATAGATGAGAATAATTTATAATTGTCGGAATATAGAACCACTATCAACTTATTTTAGATGGTAGTATAGTTGCTCTAGTTGATTGGTTTTATTTGCTATCTTTATCGTGATTATGTAATTAAATTCTATTGAGCCTATCGATTTTAGTTTCTTACATCAAAACAAGAAAAAGAAAAAAGAAAGAAGTCAATTACATACCTTCCTTGTGTCCTAAACCCTAATGCTTTGTAATTACATTAAAATTGAGGGGGCACCTGATCAAAATTTATTAGGGAAAAAAAAATTGGAAAATAATAATAATTTATTTCATTGCTTCAACTACGACAATTATTATGTGCTGAATATTCTTGTTTTCAATATGAAATTTCTTGCTTTTTCAATGTTTGAATGTGAGTTGTATGATTGCGGATTAGCGGCTTTAATCACCAGAAATTTTAAAAAGGTGGGTCCCATTTTTAAATCATCGAAGACGATGAAACGCGCTCTCACGGATGAATTTTAGCTAGATTCCGTGGGCCCATATTATGGATCGACGGTGCATTTTTCCCAATTAAATTCAACTTTTAAGTCTCTCTAGGCATGTTAAAAAATTTAGCCGTTCCTCATTTTTTGAAAAAATGAGAATGAAAAATATAATTGTTACGGGTCCCATATAAAAGATAAAAATTTAAATTTGATGACTTGATGTGATGAATAACGATCATATTTTTTATTTTAATGAGTAAAGAATGAGAACCAAATAGGAGCTTAATATGTTATTTGTTAAAAAAAAGTTGAACCCCAACTTTGAGGGCCCTATCGCTTCGTTCATAGAGCTTTGTGAGGGAGGTAAATCGCGGGATGTGCCCCAACATTGCAGGGAACAAGAGCTGCCTGTACACTACGCCCACAACTATAAGAAGTCTAATTTCATGTCTCAGGAATCTAACCCCCACACTGCAACTGCCAGTAAGACGTGGGATAACCTCACTCCTATCATTAACATATTATTTGTTATAAATATAGATGTTAGCCCTTTTAATTTATGAAAAGAGTGATAATCACATGCACCTATAATGGGTGTCTATGAATAACGTTAATGTTTGATTACGTTTAAAATAAGTAAAAGTTGCTTTAAGTGATTTTTTTACTTCATGTTTGAATGAGTAATGCTTTATGTATTAACCAGGAAAGCTCTTTACATGGAGTGATATTTAATGATAAAGACAATAAAATAAGTCTCGTATACGCATGTTCAATTTATCTCATTATTTCACCTCCCACATCATATCACGTGTCTCATCATATGGTTACAATCCCCGAATTATACTTACAGCAAGCATTATTTTAATTCAATGTGTTATTTTATTTTTTCTACTTTCTTTGCTTCAACAATAAGAGGTAAAGTCAAAGGAAAAACACGACCCCTCTTTGCTAGATCCGAAAGTGGGCACATAAGTTCTATACATGAATGGATGCACAGGAACAAGTACGTCGAAACTTCAAGTAAAAAATTATTTATAAAGTGTTCTTTATATGTTACTATCTTGAAAAAAGTCTCATGTGTAACTGTTGAAATAAATAAGTTACTTATTTTTGTTTGATAATAAGTTACTTATTTTTGTTTGATAATAAGTTACTTCTTTATATGCGGGCAACAACAAACAGGCTAATCAACAGAAATTGAGGGGATATTATTCAAACCATTCTGGGGGAGTCAAATGAGGACTGGTTGTGAAGTTAAAGAGGTTGATAAACTGCTACTGCACGAAGTGAACTTCGGAGGATATTATTCAAATCATTCATTGTAATATTCAATCCTATGCGGTGCTCCTTACCCAACAATTCTTGAGTTTCAGCTTCGTCATATCACAATCACAAAATTTTCCGACTTCGATCACAAATCAACAACTGATCGAGAATGTTCGGAATTTTCAAACCTCAGTCATATCTAGCTAACAACGTAGGTTATGAGATTTTAAAGATGTCAAACCCAGTGGTAGCTAGGTCGAACTTGTTGGAAAAAATTCCAACTTTGGGGACCACACATGTACATTTATTAGAATGTGTGGTGCTATTTTAAAGTAAATATAGTCGATAAAGTGATCCATTGGATTTAATTTTGGACTAATGAGTATTAAATTTTATGGGATTAAAGTGTAGAGACCAGAAGGTGTTATTTTGAATTGATGAGAGGCCGATTTGAAATAATTTAAAGTTAATAACTGCCAATAGCAGTTATTTTAAAAGTGGTTATGGTCCCCAATTTGAACGTGATTCTTTTTATGATATCTCTGCATCCCCATCAACAGAGACTTTTCAAGAAAATCAAAAGGAAGGAAAATCACGTATCAATTGGAAGATCAAAACCCAATTAAAGCAGTAAGATTCATGGATCAAGGTATGTTTCCGCACTTTTTGTTGTCTCTTTGATTTCAACATGGAATTTATGATTTTATGAATATGATTCCTTTCAATTTAATGCAACAGAACTTGCTAGGCCCGGTGTTGCTGAAAATGTTAAGATTTCGACCGTTAGAACAATATGATTTTATGAATAGGGACAACATGATCTTACAAATTGACCTATCTTTTTGCCCAATTATTGCACTCGGTCCAGTTTGGATTCACGTATATAACTTTTCAATCAAGAACTCTCTTTAGAGTATCCGTGAATAGGATTTCCGCTATCCAATGAGAAAATTTCCAACCAACCCGAAAACATAAAATTTAAGATTATTAAATCATCGTGAAGTTCCCAACTGTGATAGATTTTGTAAATCGAGGGGCTTATAGTTGTTTCGTTAAGATGAATTACTTATAAACTTATTATCATAAATAGGAGAAAAGGGTATAAGGTAATGAGTTCAGGTAATTGTAATAAGTTGATACTTTTCAATGAAGTTATCCTCCAAAATTTAAATGGAGGACTCAAGTATTAGTTTATTTACTCATTAGAATTTTACATAGAGTTTTAGAGTTTGTTCGATAGTGATTATAATAATTGATTTTATGATTGTTAGAAAGAAAAGTGAATTTCAACTGTGAGTGAGGAAGTAAAAAATGATGGTTGGAATAGTAAAATAACGGTTAAAAAATTAATTTTTTTGGGTGAAAAATTATTACCAAACAGGGGCTTAGATTAATGTACCGTGCGAGTGACCGTCGTATAATCATTAGAAACTTAAACGGCAAGATGATTTAATGTCTTTTTTATTGAAAACTTCAAAGTGAAAAGTTGACAAAATATGTGGATCCTATTAAATGTGCGATTCAAGGTTAAATGTTGACTTTTACCTGAACTTTTTAAACTTTCGAAATAAGCACTCATGGATATTTTATTGTTTGAAAATATAATTTACAACTAACTCGTTGCTTTTGAAAGATTAGGAGCCCGTTTGGGCTCGATTTTTTCACCTAAAAAATTGATTTTTTCATCGTTATTTCATTATTTCAACAGTTATATTTGACTTCTTCTCTCATAGATGGACCCCACTTTTCTTCTAACGATCAAAAAATCAATTTCCAAAATCCCGCCAAACAGACTCTAAAAGCCAATTCAAAGAGGCGAATAGATTGAGGATTAGTTATTTCATTTTCACCGCCATCGCTGTATCACCATCAATTCGACCTCCCATTCCCACATTTCCTTTCTCCTCAAAAATCCCAGTCCAGATCTGTCGGAATTGCACTCAAATTCCCGTCCAGAAATCCCATACAAATGTTTCTTTTGGACTGGTTTTACGGCGTCTTGGCCTCACTCGGCTTGTGGCAGAAAGAGGCCAAGATCTTGTTTCTTGGCCTCGACAATGCCGGTAAAACTACCCTCCTTCACATGCTCAAGGACGAGGTAATAATTTTTATCTTATTGTTTTTCAGAATTATAGGAAATGATGAAATTGATATGTATAGCATAATTTTTTTTACATTGATTTTGAGGGTTTAATATGGTTATTTGTAGAGATTAGTGCAGCATCAGCCAACGCAATATCCGACATCTGAAGAGCTGAGTATTGGGAAAATTAAGTTCAAAGCCTTTGATTTGGGAGGTCATCAGATCGCCCGTAGAGTCTGGAAGGACTACTATGCCAAGGTATGCAGCATGCCCACATGATTAATATAGATACTTATGTATCCTATGCTAATTGTGTGTCTTAAACAGAATGGGATCCAAATTTGACATATCCTTCTACGTTTTGGTTAGATAGGATTTATATAGTTTCTGTGGAATTCTCGATTTGCTGTGAAATTCTTTACCGTGGGAAGACAGCAGAAATTAAGCTGTTGATCGGATCTTTCTAGCCTGTGTACAACTAAGTTGATCTATTCATGGCTTGGTTTTTGCTAATGTTTTCAGTGATCTGTATAACTTGTGGTTGAAATGATTATTATGAATCTTATGGGGAGTAACCTTTTCGTTGGAAAGCTTTGCGTGCATGACATAATTTGGTGGGCATTTTGAGCTGGTTTCTAGTGAAAGCAAGTAAAATGAAGTTAGTGTCACAATTGCATCATGTGAATCTGCATGGCTTCTGTACACATTTCTTCTATTTTCAGTTATGCAAATCGCTCAAAAGTATTATGCTTATTGATATATATTTAGACATTCAATGGCAATTTTGCACTCTGTTATATTGAGCTCCACCTATTCTTTCATTTGGAGCATATGTTATTTAAAGCTTTATCAGAAAAACTGTCTAATAACTAAAATACATCAAAGAGTGGAGTCTCATCACCTCCTGCCGCCCAGAAAGAGCCCTATCCCACTAGCTAAACAACCCTCCACCAACCAATCCCTCCATACAACCTATCTTCCAACACAATGCAAACCCCCTTGAACCTTGAAATCACAGCTTGAGGAGACTAAAGTCTTCCATGTAAGTTTACGATCAGGTGGAACATGAAGCATGAGTGAACGAGATTGCCCACCAGCTACCCAGTCTTTAGAGGCGGCAAACACAATCCAAGAACCAATATGAAAGCAGACCCATTGATCACTAAACTTAAAACGTGGAGTACTATGGTTGCTCCTCAGCTAAACACAAACAAGAAATCCACTAACCACTCCAGATCATATGGAAAGGGAGGAGAGAAAAACTCAAGGTAAAAACAAAGGACCAAATAAAAAAGTTTTGGGGGTGTGGGTGGTGGGGGGAGGGGGTTGTTGATATGGGTCGGAAGAAGATGGGGAAATTGTTCAAATAAAAAAAAGTTTTACTAACAGGGTGTTTGACGCCCATTTTTAAGGAAAAAATGAATTTTAGAATAGTAGATTGATGGAGAATGTGTGGATGAAAATTTTTTGATTTACATGTAATATTATTTTAATGAAAAATTTGTGGTTGAAAAGAAGAGAGAAAAATGCATTTTGAGAAAAATGGGAATCAAACGAGGCCTAAATTGTTTTTTCTTAGTTTACAAATGTATGAACCATATAAATTACCATAAGAAATATTGTGACAACCCGAGTTCTAAAGTTTGAGTGCTCCTAAAATCGTATTTTGAACACTATATTGCACTTTCAAAAAGCTTGAAATTTATTTAAATAATATCATGAAATAGTAAGAGTGAATACAAAACTTAAAAAAATTGACACTGACATAAAAGAAAATACTAGAAGTTTTACCAGTCTTAATATCAAACCAATAATTAAATAGTTCTTAAATAGACAGAAGTAAGCTTGGTGGGTCTCTTTCACTTGCTCTCATCCTTCATTGACACGAACCATTAGTTTCCTGAAAGTGGTATAAGGTGGCGGCGCACATACTTTGAGAGTTTTAATTCAATTGAACTTTGGATTATAAAAGTGATGAAATCTTATCATTATCTCAACCATTTATCAGTTAATGGGATAAGATAATGAATTTAAAAAAAAATAATAATAATAAAAAATTATCTCCATAATTTCTAAAATTAAATAAAGTAGAAATAAAATCAAAATATTGTCTTTATAATTTAATATTTCAATTTTAATTGATATCACATTGAAATATTATATCAGTTATCTTTTAACATTAAATAAAATATAGATAAAATTAAAATATTATCTTAATAGAAATTTGATTTTATCTTAGTCATTTAAAATTTCTATCTAATTAAAAGAGATAAAATTAAAACATTATTTTCATTATTTAATTAAAATTAAATAAGATTTTAACAACTTGGGCTTAAGCCCAAAAAGAAAAATAAAACAAAAAGGTGTGGACTATTATTTCACATAATAGACTTTCATGTAATTGATCGAGGCTAAATAATAATCGCGTCTATTATTTTTTTATAACGGGCTAAATGTAAATTAACAAAATTAGGCCATAGGTGCAGGTCTTACAAATATCACTTGAGAACAATTGAATTCCATTTAAGAATACAAGGGGGTTTTTTTTTTTTTTTAAATTGTCATTTTCCTATGATTATGTACTCTAGCATATGTTTTATTTACTTGGACAATTTTTTCTAAATGTTTGGCTTTACATTTTTGTATTCTCTCACAGCGTCCTATTTTTTCTTTTTCTTTTTCTTTTTCTAAAAATTGATATCCATGATATTATTTGAATGTTTGTGTTAATTTTATTCTAATTTAATTTCATGTAGCCTCCTTCTAAACTCTGAAGTTTGTGTTTCTACTTCAGATGTTGGGCTTCTAACCAAGTAGGTCAGTGGATTCTCATTTTGGAATTTGGCAAGAAGTCTATATTATCCATAGGCTTGGGGGGATATGCAGTGCGTGTGTTTGCAGAGTTGGAATGTATTATTTGCCTTTGATTGTTTAGGGAGAAAAAAAAAATTATAAGCATGCATATAGTTGATAATTGCAATTCTTGGCACTATATTATAATTTATAAAAGGGCTTTGGTTTTGCCATGCATTCGTCATTCTTTAGAATGATGAGATTTAAAAATTACTTTGGGCCCAAATGAGCTTGTCCAATGTGGGAAGATGGTGAGAGTGAGCCAATTTCAAATGTTATTGCCTCTGTGGCATGGACACTTCAACTAAAGCAGCGTGTCCGTGTCCGATACCGACACTCCTCGAACATGTTGTCATAATTATTATTATTATTATTATTTTTACTAGAAATATCATATCTTTTTAATTCAAATTATTAATAAATAACAAATAGATACTCATATTTAAAAGATTTCAACAAGAAAAACTAATGGCAAGTATAAAACTAAATTCATATTATATAAATGAAGAAATTTAATAATTTAATCAACGTGTTGTGCCAATACTTTTAAAAAAAATACATGTTGGCTTATCAGACACGTATCGTGTCAAACACATGTGTCCGTGTTGGTGCATCATAGGTTATTGCTATATCGATTTTTACCTTCAGATAGGGCACATAAACTACAGCCAATTCCACTTAATGATCTCTCTGGACACAGATTTGATTGAGCTATTATGATCAAGTCTGTACTTCTATACCTTTATCCACTTAATCCTTTCTTTGTTTAGTTGGGCTCAAGGATTCTTTGCTTTTTCATTTATTCACGTTTTTTTGGCTGTGGAAGCAGCGATGAGACGGTGATACCAAGATGTATGTACAACCCATATGGGAGATGCAAATAGCTTCAGAATTTTTTGGCACAATAGTTTGTTTAGTTGATTATGAATATGCTTCTCTTTAGTTCTTTGCAGTCGAATTCAAGTATGGAAATGCTGATGCTCTTAACTGATTGTGAATTTTTCACAATTATCAAGAAACACGAGACTTCAGCATTTGAGAAGTTTGGCAAATCTTGCACCTTTACCAGCCCCCTCCACCCACCATCTGATCTCCATATATAACCTTGAGGAAATAATGTTGATATAGTTAAGCCTGAAATTATTACTTTTATAAAAAGATTGATACTGTGTAGATGCCATCACTTTTAATAGATAATACATCATGGCAAGCTGTAATTTTATTTTATTTTTGTCCCCCAAGGTATGCTTCTATGTATTACCTGTGATTTTATTCTCCTCAGCATTTAAAAGATCAATTGGTTTACCCCAGCGTGCTGTTGACAATGGGGAAACAAACTACATTTGTTGAATCTCATAATATCTTTTGTCTCGTTAAATATGATGCATTGTGATTTATGCTTCTCATATGGTACTAACGCATGCCCTGTATGTTTGTGCAGGTTGATGCTGTAGTCTATCTGGTGGATGCCTATGACAAGGACCGTTTTGCAGAATCAAAGAAGGAATTAGACGCGCTCCTTTCTGATGAGGCTCTCGCCAATGTGCCCTTCCTCATTTTGGGAAACAAGATTGACATACCATATGCTGCCTCAGAAGATGAGTTGCGCTACCACCTTGGCCTCACTGGCGTAACCACTGGCAAAGGGAAGGTGAATCTTGCAGATTCTAACGTGCGCCCTTTGGAGGTATTCATGTGCAGCATTGTACGCAAAATGGGGTATGGTGACGGCTTCAAATGGGTGTCTCAATATATAAAGTAGGGCGATCCCTCGGAATAATGTTCCATTAGTTACATCCATCTCCTCTCTGGGCAAAGAAAAGAAAAAGAGAAGGAAAGAAGAAAATTCAGTATTTTCACTGTGCTTGAGTCTGTTATCTTCAGCCACAACCTTTTCCTTATTTCGATTTTTTCGTCTTCTATGAATTTTGTTAAAGCGTGAAAAATGGATATTTTCTCTAGTGTTCACTTTTTGTAAAATATTATGAGAATTGGAGTTGAGAATTAAAACAAATGTTTTCTTTCATTTTCCAATTCTCTGGAGGGTTTTGTAGATGATGTGTTAATTTGCTTGTGCTGCAGAACTATCCATTTCTCCAAAGGCCATGTCTATTTCTTCAAAGCAGGTGTGCAATGGTTTTTCTCTTTCTTTTTTTCTTTTTCTTAAAAAAATAAAATAAAATTATAATGTCCATGTAGACCGCACTCGAGCTGTAGAGGGAAAACATGGAAGACCAATTTTGTGATTACGTCCTCTTAGGTGGCCCTTTTTTTGAAAAAATATTGTTCTGAACAGTAAATTTTTGGAGAACGTATAGGTTAAAAAATTAGGAAAAAAAAATTGATTTTACGTGTAAAATATTTTATTCATATGATATGAATATGTGATTGAAAATGAGTGTGTTAAAAAAAAAAAAGTTTTAAAAAAGCGAAAAATAAATTGGAAATTCTACTGAGTAGACAAGACATTAATACCATACGCCCCCAGGGCATATCTCCCAGTGGCAAAGGGGAGGGCAGATAGGGCTCAGCGCGGCAGTGTGCAGAGTTCGATTCCCCGCAAGGTGGAATTTGCTTTGTTGCAAGCGGGAGTTACCATATGGGTTAACAGCCTTGACCTATCCATGTGCTCTCCACCCTGGCTCCTGGGAGGCACATTCTGTGATTTACCTCCTCCACAATGGCCCAGAGCAGGGTCGGTGGGGGTCCTTAAGGTTGGGGTTCAACCTTTTTTTACATTAATACCATCCAAGTTGGAAATCTTTTCATTTTCTATTACGTAGACAACAATCCCAATCCGCATACGACATTGGAGAGCTGCAAGTACGAATGCCCATTCTTATCCTAGATACCAGTCAGCCTAAACATATTACATGATGAAAGCGTGTCAAATATGTAAGGGGAGAGGCTACCTAAATCTATAAACCTCGACAAAAACATGTCAAACATATAAAGACAATATGACCTACTATGGAATATTCACCAAAACATGTGGCCATCGAAAGAATGTTGAAAAGTTTATCCCAAAAAAAAAAAAAAAACATTGAATGACGAATCGGTGGTGGTGGTGACATCTAATTAAAATCCGAATAATAAAGAGACCTGTCACCATCCAAGATGTGAACAAAAAGCCTTCACTTTTAAGATTCCTACTTGAAACATCACCATTCCAATGGTAGTCTCCGGCCGCATACAGGGGCCGGGGCCGGGCAGTAGCACCGTCCAGTCCCTCCACTAAATACGCCAATGGCTGCATATCCTCTCTAGTAGAATACTTCAACTATAACTCGTCTCTGGGATGAACTTGGCAATAAAACTTTTAGGTCATCTTTTAGGTTATCTTCAATCCTACAATAAAATTTGAAGTAAGTTTTGCATCATTTTTACACCAAATTTTACATTGAAATAAAAATTATCTCCAATCATTATATCAAAACTTACACAATATGAACAGCGTTTAATCATTTTCTTCATTTTTTTATTTTTAACAATTATTTATTTGAAAAATTATTTATTTATTTATTTTACAACTACATAAATTACTAAATAAATGATTACGTTAAATTAAACGAAAATATTAAATTCATTAATAGATATATAAAAAAATAAAGTACAATCAATAGAAACACTACAAAAAAAGAAAATATTAAATTACACCATTAAAAAAATAATGCAATATGTGTATATGGTTGTAATATATTTCATATTAACTTTACCTAACCGTGTTTCATATATTTTAATTTTTTTAATTCTTATTTTAATTAATTCATTAACTATTATTTTTTGTACATTAATAATAATAGTAGTAGTAGTAGTAGTAGTAATAGTAGTAAAATTTTATTGTATTTAAAAATATATAACATAAATAACACAAATACACTTAATCAATTTGTTTGAAAAGTTAAAACAAAGGGTAAAATTGACTTTGCACCAATTTTATGCAAAATGGTGCAAAGTGAAGTGCTACACTGAGACATTTAGCACCACTTTTTGATGCATTTTGGTGTTTTGGTATCTCCTTTAAGACCATCTCCAACCCTACATTATTTTGCACCAAATCTTGCACTAAACTAAAAATCATATCCAATCCATTACATCAAAAGTTGCACCAAATGAACAATATTTATTTATTTTTAACAATTTATATAGTTGAAAATTTATTTATTTACTCGATTTACTACTACATAAATTATTACATACATAATTACATTTTGTTTATGAAAATATGAAATTATTTAATATATTTTATAAATGTAGCACAATTAATAAAAATACCACAACTAAGAAAATATGAATCTCGAAATTATGGTATAGAGAAGTCAATCTAGTGTTTAATTTAATTATCGGATTCATATAATTATCCCACAAATGTTCATTTAATGCATTTCGTTTTGAATACTTTTATTTTAATTTGTTCATCTATTATTATCAATTACACGATTAAAGTTTATTACAAATGATGATTATCAATATTATTATTATTATTATTAATTAATTACGAATTAAAATTTATGTATGATGTAAAATGATACAAATATCCTTCATATCAACTTGGTCATACATGAAAAAGGGCAAAATAAATTTTTATTATATGATGCAAAATAGTGTAAGATTTGATGTTGAGTTGGAGGGGTGTTTTTGATGAAAAATGATGAAATTTGGTGAAAAATAATGAAATGGTGTATGGGTTGCAGTTACCTGAGGCATTAATACCACTAGCAATGTACTCCATCATCTCACGTCCAACCCAACTCAAATGTCAAATCCTGACCTAAGTCCTCCTTAAGCTCCAGTTTGATGCTTATTAAAAAGGGTTTTTTTTGAACAAAATGAGCACTTGTTTGATCCCATTATTTACAAAATATATTTTTCTCTCTTTTTTATAACCATATTTTTCAATAAAATAATATTACACGTAAAATAAAAATTTTTAATTTTTTAATCATGCATTCTTCATTAATCTACTGCTCCAAATTACATTCTCAAAAGGGAGGGGAAAACTAAAATAGAGAAAATGAATTTATGTGTAAATACTTTACTGTGAGAATGTACAATGAAAATAATTTTGAAGAATGATAGACAAACAGGGACGAAGTCATTACTCAAGTACACTCCGCACAAATATTTTTCCTTTCTTCGCTGATTTAAGTATTAGAAGGATGATACTATGCCTCGTTTGAGTTCTATTAGTTTTTAGAAAAAAAATTATTTTGTAATAATAGTTTTATAAAGAATGTGTAATTAAAAAAGAATGAAAAATTTTAAATTTATTTGTAATATTATTTTAAAAAATGTTTAATTGAAAAAAAGAAAAAAAATGCATTTTAAAATGGGAAAATTACATAAATCCAAGGGTTTAAACATTACAATTCAAACACCAAGGCTAGAGTTTCATTATGCAATAATCAGGTATTAATTTAATAATTTAAATATTAATTTCTTCCAATTCAATTTTCCCAACCCTAATTTCATGTTTTGTTCTCTCTCTACCATCTCCATACTCTGCCTTCTCTCGATCATGAAACACCATCGTCGCCACCGTCGATCACGATTCACGACGACGACGGCTATCACGACGGAGGCGACGCTCAAAAGCATCCTCACCGGTGGCTATTCTATTGGTTTTCTCTCTCTTCTCCTTTGCTTCGCTACCACGAATAGGGTTACAGTAGATCTAGGTAGGTTACAACTTACAGGCGGTAGTGGTGGATTTGACCGGTGGTGGTATTGCTGTTTCCAGTTTGGTGACGGTGGTGTTGCAAAAATCGTGGTGGCGGCGGCGGTCTTCAACTGTGAATTTGATTTTTGTAGTGGGTGTGGAGTAGTTTTGGGGTTTGTGTTGCTGGTGGTAAGGGTGATGGCTGTGGGCGTGAGGTTGCGGTGGCGATGTGTTTGGTTGGCGATGGATTTGGATGGTGTCTTGTGCAATGACGGTGTCTTGTATGGTGGTAGACTCTGTACAGCGTGGACGTGGGTGCGGTGGTGGCGTTTGTGGTCGGCTTTCTTGATCGGTGTTTTGTTGGAGGTTGTGGTGGTGTGGTGAAGGACACGGTGACAGTTTTTGTTGGTGATTTAGTTTAGGCAGCGATGGTGTGGTTCAGATGGCAATGATGGTAGGTTTGGTGGTGGAGTATTTGTGACCATGTACTGAGGTGGATCGAGATCGGTGTTTGGTGTCTGTGACCAACAATTAATCTGTGACCTTGAAATTCGATCATTTTATGACTAAAAAATAATTTGTGACTATCAAATTCAAAATTACGTGACCTGTGACCTATAGTTGTGACTCGTGACCTATAACTTTTTAGATTTGTAACCAATGACATAAACTGTGGCCTATAAAATTGATGGATAAATTGTGATTCGTGACCATGAAATAATTTGTGACCTATCAAAGTTTTGATTCGTGATCTCGAAATAATTTGTGACCAATTAATTGTAAATATGTGACCAAGAAATAAATCTGTGACTTATAAATGTGTACACGTGATCATTAATTGTATAATTGTAATTTTATTATATTTGATTAACAAATATTTTTAATTAATTAGATAAAAGCCTGATTTTTACATTAGTTAAACTTTAAACATGATTTTTGAACTGTGCATAGTTAATACATGGTTTATAAATTTTTCTCTTTTAAAATTAATGTAGCCAAACATGGACTACATAAAGCCTCCGTTTGGCCCACCCCTTAAATGTGTGTGGCCTGTACAGGGGTTCTTCGAAAAGAGACTATCAGGGTATAGGCTTACCTTCGCCCGGCCCCACTTTAGGGAGGAAATAGTAATCAGCGTGAATCACACAGTCTGACCCCCTTTGGCTTTGGTTCCAACACGTTACAGTCAACACTCTCATTTCTTTGACTCTCTCCCCCAACCCCGCTATATATAGGGATATCCGGAGAGAATAAAATGCAACTCCTCCACTGAATCAATTAAGCAAAGGAATTCATCAAATTACTTACAATTTTTCACATATATTGATGGGCAATTTCATTTCTTGTTGCTCTGTCGAATCGCAAACAGCGAAAATTATTGATCTCCATGGAAATATTCGGATTGTTGAGATCCCTTCAACAGCTGCAGATCTAATGCTTGAAGAACCAGGTCACGTTGTTTCGCCTGCCGTTGAGATTTCCGGATCGGATTCCCGGTTTTCGGCGATGAAAGCCGATGAAGAATTAACTGCCGGAGAAGTTTATATATGGATTCCTGTACGTAGAGTTCATAGTAAGGTCTCCGAATCGGAGATGGCAGTGATCAAGGCTTCCGCCGGTGATGGTAAAGCAAAACGATGCAGTTCCAAGGTTCTGCCGGTGGTGACTGAAAGTTCCGATGAGGAAATTGATACTCCGGTGAAATTGATTCTCAACCAACGGCTAAGACCATGGAAACCTGCTCTAGAACCAATTTCAGAGGGCATTTGAGGGGTTTCTTAAATTTTTGTATGGGTTTCGAATTATTATATATTTTTAATTCCACACAAAAGGAGATTCGAGACCTATTCAAGCTTTGTCATGTAAATTTCTCATTTGGCAAGTTTGTGGATATTTTGTTTAAAAAATTTATTATACAAAAATTATTATAGTATTTGAACGGTTCCTCTTCCTGGTACGACTTAGCGCCCTGTCTCTATCCTCCATGCAATTTGTATCTATATTTGAAAAATAAAAAATGAAGAAAGAAAATGATTTTGATCTTCATCATATCTAGTTTGCGAATTTTCATGACAATTGACAAGCTTAAATTCTCTAATGGGAAATTCTATCTCGAAAAGCTGTCGAATGCCACCGCAAAAGTCATTTGTCGACCGGCGTTGTTTTCAAGTACGACGAACCTATAACAGTTGTAGAGCTCCTGCTGGAGCATCCACAGCAGGTGTGGTTGAAATCAAGCCGGTGATGAATGGAAAAAAGCCGACGCCAAAACTCGAGATAAAAAAGGTTTATATAATGCTTCCGGTCAAGAGAGGCAAACCAGAGGCGTTGTCTTCTGAAGAAGCCCGAAAGGCTTCGGAGAATGCAAATTCTTTTCTGAAACTTAAGTCCGTTTTATCTTCATCAGGGTTTCTCCCTTTGTTTGTTAGAATTTGTCCGACCAGTGGCGGTGTGGGACACGATAACGTTTTCACGAAGACGAAGAAGTATTTGGTAGAAAGATAAGATCGGAGGAATCAAAGTCAGATTATTTCAGTGAAATTTTGGAGGAGCTAGAAAGATTTTTTAGGGTTGGTTGAAGTTTAAATTTATTTTCAATAACCTCATGCCATCATAAAAAATACTTTATGCCCATGAAATTTAGCCCCCCGTTTAAGCCACTTTTTTTTTAAAATAAGAATGAAAAATATAGCTGTTATGGATTCCACACAATAGATAAAAAGTCAAATGTGGTGACTTGATATGATAGATAACGGTCATATTTTTTATTTTAATGAGGAAATAATGGGGCTCAAACAAAACCTTAATTTAAAAGGTTAAACTCATGATACTTGTGAAAAAGTGGATTAGAATATATTTTTGAATACTCATGACAAAGTTCTAATAAATATATTTTTTACTAATAAAATTAAATATAGAACATATTACTTATTTTGATAATAACATCTATTTCATGTGATTGAAATAAATAAAATTTTAATTTATGAGCATAGATAAGTAATATATGAAAAATACATAAAATTAATTTAATTACTTTTAAATTTAGTCAAACGTGATATCTCATACTTAGTGATGGAGGCGTGACAGCTTGCCCCATTTATTATTATTTTTTTTCTTCGGGGGGTGGGGCGAGGGGGGATGTCCTGCCCGGCCAAGCCGGAGGGGGGAATTTTTCCCATCACTATTCATACTATTAAAATATGTCATTTATCTTTACTTTAATCAGTAAAAATTACTTGTATAATAAATTAATTTGATTACAAGTGAACTTTTTAAACTTAGTAATATATATATATATATATATATATATATGAAATAAAATACCTAATTTGATAACGACTTATTTGTGTATTATAAATGTAAATAAAATAAATATGTAATTGTTTAAAATTTTAAAATACTTTTCAATAACTGGGCGTTGATATTGGGTTGAAAATGAAGTTAATTTGTTTAAAATTAATTTTTAGGCAGGACTAAATTTTTATTCTTTTGATTTCACCATGAAATTGGACTAAAATTTCCATTTTCACGTACCAATTTGCTTATGGGCTGAGCTAGGCTTGGCTAGCCCCCCTCTCGTGCATGGCAGCGCCCACGTGAACCATGAAATTTGTCCAGTAACTCAGGATTTAGCTCCTATCTAGGAGCCTCTATTTCATCCAAAAAAATAAAAAGAAAAAAAAAATCGATTTTTGGCATTGTCACGCGGCTACCCTTTTAATTTTTAATGCAATATCATATATCATGTGTGCTGTTATTGAGTTATAGCATCTCCAAGAAAATTCAAATTTTTTTTAAGTATTTCAACAAATTCTTTGTATTTAACACTTAATTTTACTATTCACAAAAAATATTTATTATTTTTCTAGATCTTATATTTTCACTAGCTTATATCCAAATTAATACATTATTTTCTTCCATTGAAATTGAAATACTTTGAATTTATTTAATTAAGAAAGTGGATTTGTCTCTTCTAATTGGGAGAGTCAAACTCATTCTTTAAATTAAAATATTAATTTAAAGAGTCTCTTAGAGTATAAATTTAAAGATGCACTCTTATAATAGAGAGGATATTATATTTAAAGAGTTTGTTTGAAGATGCTCAATCTAGAATTTATTTGTTTGTAAAATAATGGTGCATGATTTATATTTCTGACTATTAACATTTTTATGTGCTAAAAAATTGAACAATATCGAATTCGAAAAATGTAGAAAGAAGAAATGCAATTTTGGTCAACACAAAAGATTGACTCTTTTTCTTTAAAACGATAATACACAATTAAGTAAACGGTATGTTCGGAAGGACACTACTTTTCAACTGCACACACATACATGTTCCAACATATTCTACTTTCGATATCCCGCCATTTCGACGTGTAAGGCCTTAATTTTTCTCTAATTCATTCCAGAAACTAAATAAATAATGGAATGTGCTCTCGAAACAAAACAAATCAAGACTTGGAACTTTAGTAGTCAACGAAAGGATTCCACTTGAATAATTGGTGAAAATCATTTTTTTCGTGTTGAGTTTTGGAGTTGGGAAGTCAAAAACCATTAGCATGTCCAATCGAAATAAAGCTTTTCGCTCGCACATTTCACATATTTTTCTGAACCTGCTTTTTGGACAAACAACAGCCCCTCCAATAGGGGTGCCATGTAGATGTTGGGAATCTACTTAATATGCGCAACGAAAAATTAAAATAAATTTCAATTCTCACCAAAATTCATCTTTGTGTTTAGATAAAAATTGTGATGAAGATGTACCTTCAACAAGATCTACAAACTCATTTGACATATCTCTATTCCAGCAATTTGGATCTGTCTCCCACAACCGTCCAGCCTCCAACATTAATCCACATAGAGAACAAAATTGCAAGATTAGGGATTCCTTCTTGTGCTAACAAGAATAATAAAAAATCTCTACAATTTTGAAAACCCTAATCATATTTACATAAGCCCGAACGGGCTAGGCATTACTCGGTCCAACATTTAATTAACCCATTTAATTAAATTCGGTCTGTAATTAATTAATTCAGGCCTATAAATAAGCAACTCAATTAATTAATTTATCCAACACTTGTTAAATTAATTAATTGACAAATCACAATCTTCTAGTTCTCCTTTTGTATGCGACCCATCAGGTTCCCGATCATGATTCCTAATGACATGAAATAATATTTTAATCTAATCAAAATTGATAAATTAAAGCACATTTTTAATTTATCACCAATTTATACTTGCCGTCTCAGATTGACATCTAACAATGTGTCAGGGCAATGCATGTGACGGGAAATGTCACGTGGTATGACAAAACCAAACTCATTCGTTTTCCGTGAAACTATAATCCCTTCGTTAATATGATCTGATCAATTACGAGATATGAAAGTGTGTCAATCTCGATTATCGATTATATCTTTCACTCCACTATTAAGTTAATATAAGTCGAAAACTTTTTTTCGACTTATGAGTATACCTTGGTCAAGGACTTCATTATCGACTTAATTGAATGAAACGCAGATTATAATTTCCTACCATCTAAGAGTGACGAATCCTCTATTGGTCAATCACAATCTTTATACGATTCTTGACATATCCGAACGATGTCGTATTAGCGGCCCTTGGCAGAGCAACATCCAACACAGTTAAAGTATGACTGTCCTCATACAAGGTACCATGACGACCTTAAGTCAAAGGACCAATTCCACTACCGAACGTTAGAGATTAACCACTGACACTCAGATAGTTATCCATGTGGAATCTCTCGATGGGTCTCTAATGTTTTGTTCTATAACAAAACATCCACGTGTTCATTTAAGTGTGACCACACTTTAACTTGTGATATTAGCTACTTACTTCACAAGTAAGAAATGCCACACGTGATGGTCTATCCATAATAATGATATCTGTATCTCGTTATTACTTACGATCACGGACGATTTAAGATTCAATCATATGTAATTTGTATCTCACAATCACAACTCCTTGTGATTAACAAATTAGAAATATATTTGAATTTACTGACTCTATTATTTAATTTAATTGTCTATTAATTAAATAATAGATTTGACATTAAATTGTATTAATTATATATATTAAAAGTATTTACGTCCAATATTGATTGGACTTAGAGCATAACACTTACAAACTCTCACTTGCACTAGATCCAATCACTTATGTATCCAATAGCATAAGAGTTTACACGACGATCATGTCTATGCTACGACAACTCTTTATCAATAGATCTGCAGTATTGTCAAATGTGAAAATTCGTTCTTCTCTTTTCGTCATTTCTATGTATTATCTCTCTCATGAGATTATACCGTCTTAATACATGTTTGGATCATTGATGAGACCTTAGTTCCTTCACTTTCACGATGGCTCTATTGTTATCACAATACAATAGCATGTGATCAACAACAATAGGAACTACTCCAAGTTCATTAATGAATATCTTGATCCACATTGCAACTCATTGCTGCTGCTGAAACAATCATGTATTAGGTTTTTGCCAATGAACCAACGGTTATTTCACGTTTGGAACCTTTCCAACATACAGCTTAAGAGTAAACCAATTTCTCCATATAAAATGTTCTCAAGATTTTATGTATGTATATTGGGATGGGTTAAGCAATCTTCCATATCTATCTCTATAGATCAAGTTGTAGCTCCCATATCATTCATGAATAAATCTTTTAACAACTATTATTTTAACGATTGAAATACAGGGATGTCGTTTCCTATAATATTAGGAATGCGACAATGCTCCCACCATCTTCTTGTAAACACACAATTCGTCTTCATATTTGATAAAATCAGCATTTTGATTTTCTTATCAAATCGAAGATTTCAACTCCAAGAGGTTTGCTTTAACCCATAGTCATGGTATGCAACTGTTGTAGCGAAAATCCAAATAAACCTCAGCATGGCTACACATGATAGGTTTAATCAAAG